AGATAGATAGATAGATAGATAGATAGATAGATAGATAGATAGATAGATAGATGATAGATGGGGCAAGTCCAATCCTCTTTTCAGGATATCTCCAACTTCTCATCACACTGCATCAGCAGCAACCAGGAGAGAAGCACCAGCAGCCTCCTCCTTTCTCAGAGGCCCCTCAACACTCTCTGGGCTCTGGCATTTATTCTTTCTCCAGAGTCCTCAGATTTAAACTATCCACAGCTGGCAAAGAGCTCATCTCAGCGCCCAAGCAAAGCACGTAGTCTGCTGCTGTGGACAACCTGAATCAGGCCCATATCCCACATCAGGATTAAAACAAAAACATATTTACATGACATAACTGTGTTTTTAAAGACAACAAAATTTCCACACTTTGCTGTCCTGTACTCACACTGTAGACCAGGTTGGCCTCAAACTCAGAGATCCACCTGCCTCTGCCTCTCTGAGTGCTGGGTTACAGGTGTGTGCTACCATGCCAGGCACGGTTCATGGAGGTATTTTCTCAATTAAAGTTCCCTCTTTTTCAGATAACTCTAGCTTGTGTCAAGCTGACATAAAACTAGGCAGGAAAGCATCTCATCTGAAATCGTGTTTGAACCTTGGCTGTGTGATGGTGTTCATTTCCTTTTCCTTCTAGAAGCACTCCATTCTATGACAATCAGGGACCTCTGCAGACATAAAGAGAAAAACAATTAGTGGAAAGGAGCTGCTGATGCCCCAAAGGACAACTTACATGACTCACTGAGGCACCAATAGCCAAGAGACCTGTACAGCGGGATTTGTATAGTTTTACAACTTGTATTTTCAGTTAACTATCATGTGCACATACATGACTAAAATATGCATAAAGCTCTATTTTCTTTTCTTACTTTGACTTGTATTCATTTTCTAACATTTTTAAAGTTATATTTATTATGTATACAGTGTCTGTCTTCATGTACGCCAGAAGAGGGCACCAGATCTCATTATAGATGGTTGTGAGCCACCATGTGGTTGCTGGGAATTGAACCTTTGGAAGAGCAGCCAGTGCTCTTAACCTCTGAGCCATCTCTCCAGCCCCCATTTTCTAACTTTTATATGGTGAGTATGCTATTTGTAACAATAACTTTAGACCTTTATAGGGTAAAACTGTTAAAGATTATATACAATTCCCACAGTGTTTTTATTTTTACTTTATTTTGAGTGTATGAGTATTTTGCTTGCATTCGTGTGGCTACCTGGTACCCACAGAAGCCACAGACTATGTTGAATCCCCTGGACTGCACTTAGAGCTGGTTGTGAGCCATTATGTGCTGTGTGCTGGGGCTGAAACCAGCTCCTCTGTAATAGCAGCCCATGCTCGTAACCGTTGAGTCATCTCTTCAGTCCTAACAGTCAACATTTTTATCTAATTCACAATGAAGAAACTAACACTTAAAGTATTTAAGTAATTGGCCAATTTCGTGCAGGAATTAAGTATTAAAGAATAACAGTCAGGAGCCAGGCACTCAGGAGGCTGAGGCAGGAGGATCATGAGGCCAGTGTGAGCAACTTAGTGAGACTTAGTTTCAACAAACAAACAAACAAACAAACAGAGACTGAGGAGAAGGCTCAGGAGTTAAGTACTTATTACTTTTCCAAAAGACAAACTGCAGTTCCCAGCATCTATATGGCAGCTCACAATGGTCTGTATTCCAGTTGCAGGGAATCTGATGGCATCTTCTGGCCTCCACAGCACCAGGCATGCACACAATGCAGACAAGCATGCAGCCGAAACACCCACACACACAAAAGGTCATAAATATATACATCAAGAAGAGATGGCGCAGTCAGTAAAGGGCCTGCCTTACAAGCGGGGGCCTGGGTTCAGCCATTAGAACCAATATTAAAAAGTGGGGTGTGCTTGACTCCCCACTGCTGCAGAGACGCAGACAGGTGGTCCCTGAGGCTTACTGACCAACCAGTCTTGCATGCTCAGCCAGTACCTGCCAGTGCAGGACCTTGTAAAAGGCAAATGATGTCTTACACACACACACAACACACACACACAAGCATGCAAAAACAACAGCAAGAACTCTTTTTCTCCTATCATTTTGACAGATTAAGAATTCCCAGGGCAGGGGTAAATGGGGAAATGAGAAGCAAGCCAAAAGAAGTTCAGCTTGAAAATGCCATAATGTAACTTAATTCTTTGTATGCCAATAAAAATGTAAAAAAGATAACAAGAATATTCAGTGCCAGCCCTTCACTGCAGTCCCCTGTATCCAGGAAGCTGAGGCTAGAGGATCACTTGAGCCCAGGAGTCTGAGAGCAGTGTAGGCAACATAGTGAGATGAAATGAAAAGCAGAGGATAAAGAGAAAGGAAGTCTGATAAAAATAGCATAGCCTTGAGCAAACTGCTCAATCTTTTTGACTACGCGTCTTCTTAGAAAGCATGTAATCCAACCACTAACTGATAAGAAAGTCAGTAGCAGTGAAAAGGTGAGAAGACTCCAGGTGTCCAATAATAAGAAAACTGTCACAATTATAATAAACGTGTAAATTACTTTCTTAGTGAAACCATTGGCAATCATATTCTAAAGAACACTGAGGAAAATGGTTTCTTTATTTGCTTTGAACTGCATGCTCACATTTCCAGTTACCATCCCAACATCTCTCCTCTTGGCTAGCACAATCATCCTAAATGAAGATTAAACCAAAGTGATAAACAACTGGTCAGAAGCAAATTCATTTCCTATGTCCCACTCCCTCACAGCCCGTCCTCCACCAGTGGCCCCTACCTCGATGAGAAAGCACCCTCCTCTCTCCCTTCCCTTCCTTCCTCTGCTTCTTTTCCAATCTACCTCCGAGTTGTGTTGGTTCCACTTCCTAACTTCATTTCCAGTCTGACCACTGCCTGCCATTCTCGCTGGGCCTGTCCACTATTCCAGACTACTGCAATAGTCTCGTAAACAATTACCACCCAAGGCCTCCTCCCTACTAAAGTCAGTTCTTCTGAAGCAACCCAGTAATGCCCAAACATTTTCCACTCTGATTAAACCTTGACCCTACTTAAACCTCTTCAATGGTCTTTTACTATTTAGATAAAATAAAAACGCCGGAGAGCTCTTTGTGATCACAACTTCTTTCCTCCCCTGCCTAGAAATGTGGACACTGCGTCAGGTTTAATAATTTGCCACTGTCCTCTCCACCCACCCACACCCTCACTAGGCCAATATCCCTAAATCTTAGTCAAACATTTATCTTAACACAGGCGGACAGACTTTTCTTTCAGAAAAAGATTCATTTACCAGTTCACTTCCTCTAGGCAAGGCAGAGTCAACATTCTAAAGGAAGGTTTTTGTGTTTTCTTTTTTTCCTAAGTTCTGGGGACTGATCCCAGGGCAAGCAGCAATCTACCACTTAAATAGTCCTGTAGCCTTCTCACATCTCTATGATTTTTGTTCTCTCTTCAGTAATGTAAGAAGAGGGGAGAGGGAGAAAGGGGGGAGAAAAGTGGAAAGGAACACATTACACATTAAGGGAATGTTTATTCAAATAACAGAAAAGGCACTTGTTTCTGAAACTGTAGTTGAATCATGTACCATTTCTTGAAAATTTTCAGCCATCCAGGGCTGCTTACCATATATTACATTCGGGCGTTTCATCAAGTGTTACTTCCCCTGTGGCTCTAGCCCTCAGTGACTAGCCTAGTTTACATTTCAACCAGACTTAGCTGACATTTTCTATTACATAAAGCTGTGTGTTCTAGGTAACTGCCAGATTTAGTTCTCAGTCTAGCTCCGCTCCAGCGTCCTTCTCTACCATTCTCCTTACTATCCAAGAAGCCTGTTCTTTAGACTTACATGGAACACCAGGTTCATACCTGCACGTGCTGGTCACTGAGCCAGGAATCCTCATTCTTCTCCCAGGAATATCTACAACCTTCAGGCCTCAGCTCCATGGTTCATTACTGAACTGACAGATACTTCATTCTTGGCAGCTCTTGGAATACATTCTAGTCTTATTTGTCTTAATGTCATTGAAAACTACTTGACAAAAATAAAGGCTGGCTTTGGCTTACAGTTCCAGGGAATACACAGTCCGTTGCAGCAGGGAAATCATGGCAACAAGAGTGGGGGGAAGCTGGTGACACCGCCTATGGTCAGGAAGCAGAGAGGCATGGATATCGCGGTGCTCAACTCACTTTCACTCTGTCCAGTGCTCCAGCGCATGAAACACTAATGTCCATGCACAGGATGGGCCTTACCGCCTCAGTTAACCTAACCTGCAAAATCCTTCACAGGCGTGCCAGAGATTTCTTTCTACAGTGATTCAAAATCCATCAAGTTGACAACCAAAATTAAGCATTACAGCACACATGAACAAACATCTATTTGATATTTAAGTGCCTCACCTAAATGCATGCCTTTTAAAGTCTTTTTATATACTTTTGAGACTGAGTCTTACTTTGCTCAAAAGGTCCTTTACCTCTGAGGCTGGAGAGATTGCTCAGAGGTTAAGAGCCCTGGCTGCTCTTCCAACCCAGGCTCAATTTCCAGCATCCATATGGTAGCTTGGACCATTTCTAACTCCAGTTCCACAGAATCTGATGTCCCCTTCTGGCTTCCTTTGGCCTCAGACAGGCACATGATGCGCAGGCATTAATGGAGGCAAAACATCCACACACATAAAATAATAACATATTAATTTTATTTAAAAGATCTTCTGCCTTAAACCTCCAGAGTGTTGAGGACCATAGAACCTGGCATGGTGGGACACAACTGTAACCTCAGCATTTCCAAGGCAGAGGCAGGAAGATTGTTGCCAATTCAAGGCCAGCTGCTCTTCGGAGTAAGTTCCAAGCCTGTTATGGCTGCATACTAAGAGCCTGTCTGAAAAACAACAAAAACTAAACAAACATAGTTGGGACTTTGAGTTTGAGCTGAGACTCATTATTTGTTAAATCACTGTTCTAAAAATACCTAACCTGGCAAATGTTCATAAACGTTTTAAGCAACTCGCTTAAACAACCCAGCACTCCTGGGTGTGGTGGTGGTTCTTGCCTTTAATCCCAGTACTCAGGGGGCAGAGGCAGGGTGGATCTCTGTTTGAGGCCAGCCTGGTCCACAAAGAAGTCCAGGGCAGCCAGTGCTACTGGCTACTGGCTAACCCTGTCTCAGAAAAAAAAAAAAAAAAAAAAAAAAAAAAAAAAAAAAAAAAAAAAAAAAAAAAAAAAAACAAAAAAAAAAAAAAAAAAAAAAAAAAAAAAAAAAAAAAAAAAAAAAAAAACAAAAAAAAAACAACGAAAAAAAATCTAGTACTACAGATGAAGACACAAAAAATGAATGCAAGTAGTAACCCATAGACAAGCAGACGGCAACCATTAAAACATAGTTTATGTATGTTTTACCTGCATGTGTGTCTGTACACCACTAAGTATACAGTGTCTGCAGAGGCCAGAATAGGATGTCAGATCTCCTGAAACTGGATTTTCAGGAGACAGGCTGTTGTTAGGTATCTTGTTAGCACTGGGGATGGTGAGGTGGAGCGCTTCTCTAATGTGCACAAACCCATGGGTTTGATACCCAGTAACATATAAATTGGGAATACAAGCCTGTAATCCAATAGGAGGATCAGAAGTTCAAGGCTTCCTCTGGCTGGGCTAAAAGGGACCTTATGTCCTGGACTAGAGAGCGGGACACATGGTTAGGGGCATTTGCTGCTCCCCCAGGACCAGAATTCAGTTCCCAACACACACGAAAATAGCTGAAAACACGTGTAGCTCTAGGGGATCCGAAGTCCTCGTCTAGCCTCCAAGATCACCTCCACCACATACACACAAATAAAAACTCTTCGATATCCTAAGTCTTAAATAGCCCGAGAAGGGCGTGGCGAGACACCTGTAATACCAAGCACTCGGGAGGCTGGAGTTTGAGGCCAGCCTGTCCACAAAGCAACATGGCCTCAGACTCATAAAAATTCAGAAAACAAACAAAGAGGAACGAAAGTGATGAACTGTGTTTGTTTCTAGACGGGAAAGACCTGAACATAGTACATTTTTGTGTGATGTGGGAAAAGCACCACCAGCACCATAGAGGATGTGGCGCCCGGCCCCGCGACCCAACAAGTCGCGAAAGGAGATGCAGCACCTGCCGGTCGGAACAGTTGCCTAATCCGAAGACAAGTGAGCCGGAAAGAGACTTCTGACCTCGCCAGAGTACTGAGAAAAATAGGGAGGAAGAAAACGGCCGGACTTAGCTTCCCGCACACACCGGAATCCCCAGTCGCTTACCGCCGGCGCCCTGGGGGCGGGGCTGCACCGGAAGAGAAACCCGCCGGAAAGGGAAGGGTCGCGCGCTTGAAATCCCTTGCGCTGCTCTCACGTCAGCAGTAGAGGGCGGAAGTGCAGACTGCAGGATGCGGTTCCTGGTTGCGTTGCTCCTGCTGAGTGTCGCAGTGGCGAGTAAGGCGCCCCCTCCCCTCCCTACAGACCATCTCACTCCCCTTAGGCTCCCCGGTCCTCACCTTGGCTAGTCGCCACAGTAGCGTGATGTCTTCCTTGCCTGACCCGACTCTTCTCTGTCCATCTCCACCTTTTTCCCATTTGGCCATGACCTCTGGGCAATTCCAGCTCTGAGAAGTCAAGCCCCTTTCCCTTCTCTTGGCCTTTTCTTCCGAGGACTTAATGATTTTTCTGTTTCAGGAGGTCTGCCGGCCAATTCTAAGCCAGACAGCATCCCAGGTAAAAGTGATCCTCCGATTCAGTCCTCAGACTCCAAACCCACGTCCCCGCTTTCTGAGAAGGCAGAGTCTTCTAAGCCGGGAGAGACTAGCAGTCAGAGGCAGCAGCAGCCCGCTAAAGAAGACCCGGAAAAACCGGAGGGGTCGACTACCCCAGCAGTTTCCAGGTCTGCGGAATCTGGACAGCAGACCCCTTCCCCCAATCTCAAGTTGGTTGAATCCCCAAAGCAGCCCGGAACTACAGATACCAAGTCGACGAACCTTGCACAGAAGCCCCTGTCATCCGACTCCCAGGGAGAGTCTGGGCAAAAGCTCACAAAAGATGGTTCTGATAAGCCCACAAATGAATCTGACAAGCCCACAAATGATGAATCTGACAAGCCCGCAAGTGATGGTTCTGACAAGCCTACAAATGATGATTCAGAGAAGTCTGTAAAACTCGATACAGACAAGCCCACCTCCAAATCTTTTGAAGATAAAGAGTCCCCCAAGAATGACAAAATCCAGCCAGAAGCAAATGGACAGAAACCAACGCCTACTTCCAAAACTGAATCTGGGGAGAGAGTGGCAGGGGACTCTGACTTCTCAAAGCCGGAGGGAAGAGAGAAGTCTTCAGAGCCTCCTAACGATGTGGAAACCAAGGAGGTTGAAGAGGGTGATACTGAGCCAGAAGAGACCTCACCACTTGAAGAAGAGAATGAGAAGGCGCTGGGCCCTTCCTCCAGCGAGAAGCGAGAGGGGACACTCACGGAGCCTGTGAATGATGACCTATATAAGGACAATTCTGGAAACACCAGTGCACAGAGCAGTCACTTCTTCGCCTATCTGGTGACCGCAGCTGTTCTTGTTGCTGTCCTCTATATTGCTTACCACAACAAACGGAAGGTAAGAGGGGACTGGGTTCCCAAATCCTGAGTTCTTTCTGCATGGGCAGCTCTCTGTCACTCAGCCTGTGAGCTCTGAGTATTTTAAAATGAGCTTCAGTTTTTCCTCAGACCCTGTTAGGACTTACAAAACTCTTAAGTTGTATAAGTCATGTGTTTTCGTCATGTGTCCTGTTTCCTCTGAGTTCTGCTGTAAAGTGCCAAGTTTGACATGAATCATGACCTGATCGAATTGAGATTCTCCTCCCATAACTTGGAACTCAGACCATTCACAGCCTCTGTGGATCTGAGTTCTTGACATGTTGACTTCTTCCATTTTTTCCATACTTGAGATAATTTACCATTTCTAGCTTCTATTCCTACTGTCTTCTATCTGTAGGCAGGAAGAATATTTTCAATTACATAGTCCCCAATACCAGTACCATAAAGCCCAAGGATCACTCTTCTGCCACCAACAAGAGTTAGAAGGAAACCTAGGAATTGCATAAATGTACATGTCATTGGGGTTAAAGTGGCACCCATGTCCTGTAGAAACAGCTCTGATGACAAAATGATTGTATTTCCTAATGAGCCATGAGATTTAGAAGATAATTTCAGTGACTTGATGTGTTGGAGAGTTCAATTTGTGATGGCTGTGAAGAATGCACATTCTTCATTCTGCATCTCAATGCTCATGATGAGATCGATAAATCAGAGTAAAGTTGTTGAAACCATGTGTGGAAGCAAAGCATATATTTGTAGATAAGAAACAATCAGAGAAAAAAAAGAAACAATCAGTAGTTATAATATTTTTGTTCCCCTTAAACACGTGACCTAGAACTCTCTGGCAAGGGCACTGGCAGACCTTTGACTCTTTCCCTACTATTAAATCATACAGAGTTCCACAGGCCACAGCCTTTATGTGCTGTTCATTGTTAAATAGTAGGAAGGATTTTGTTGTATCGAGCCCTTTTAAAATTTTTATACAGTTTTATTACTTTGTGGTGCTGGAGGTTGAACTCCAGTTACATGCATGATAAAGTCGTTTTACTACAGTGCTATATTGCATGCTTGATACATTTGCCTGTATGACCCTGTTTGAGCCTAGCATTTCAAAGAACAGTGTGTGTGTGTGTGTGTGTGTGTGTGTGTGTGTGTGTGTGTGTGTGTTAAATAGGCCTCTTTGTGGATCTAGGTAACTGCCTCTGATTTCAGGAACTGAAGTACATCATTACAGAGCCAAATGTTAATCTGTTTTCTTTTTCCTTCCTCAGATTATTGCTTTTGCCCTAGAAGGAAAAAGATCCAAAGTCACTCGAAGGCCGAAGGCCAGTGACTACCAACGTTTGAACTTAAAGGTAAGGAATGAGAAGCCAGGTCTAGAAGGAATCTTCAACCTCAGGTGGGCCAATTCTGGGGACAATGCTGCCATTGTTCCCAGGCCCAGGAGGCTACAAATAGAATTGTACATGAATCTACAAAGTTAGAAATAGAAGAGCCCTTTCAATACTTTCACTTTTGACAGATAAACAGATCTGCCTAGAAATGTGTTTTTGTTTATTTTCTTCCTAAGTTCCTACTCAAAGGCAATACTTGATAGTAACTCCAAACACTTTTAAACACCTTTTGCCCTATTTCAGCTCTTGACACATAAACATTTTGATAAACATTGAACATTGTGATAAAAAGCCAAGTTTAATCAACTAAGTATGGGTATAGCTTATATTTATATGTCACCTTTTTGGGGGATCACCAAATGCTGCCAGACCTTACCTTGGGCAGCAAAGCCCTAGATCACAATTCTCTCAAAGCAGATGAGCCCAGAAGCACATAGGCCTCAAGTACACCCACAGAACAGCCTGCAGGCTGGTCCTCGTGATCCTGGCCAGTCTGCCTCTGTCAGGGAGAGGAGTCTTTTTTCCATCCCACAGCAGAAGGAGCTGAGGAAGGTTCTCTCCACAGGAAACTGCTAGGTGGTTACAACAAACAACTGCCCCGTTCTGTTAGGCAACAGAAAGGACACTGGCAAAGAACAGTGGTGACCCAGATGGGAATGGTTCCCAGACTTCCTACAGGGAACAGTTCACCTACTTCTCAGCACTACAGAGTAAGCCACTCAACTCAGAACATCTGTCACAAGTAGGTCAACTTTACACTTAGCTCTAGCCTGCTGCTTTCTTCCGTAATTGACTTTAAGGACATTTTTCCTCCTTAATTTTGTTTCAGTTGGAAAGAAAGCAATACACATGAAAATTATTTAGAATAATATAGGAGAGTATAAAGTAGAAACTAGAAATTCTTTCTATCCACCATCACATGTGGCTTTATTTTTGATTTGTTCTTTATTAGCAGGTATTAAATACACATAATGAGTCTCACTATATGTTTTCATATATAGATAGATATAGATATATGTGTACATACATACGTGTATTTAGATAATAATCACCTTCACCTCCATTACCCCTTCTTGTCCCTCTGAATATTTAAAATATTTTTAGGTTTAATTATTTTGTTTTATGTGTGTAAGTGCTTTGCCTACATGTATGTATGTGTACCACATGTGTGCTGGTTGCCAGTAGAGGCCAAAAGAGGCCATTGGATCTCCTGGAACTGCAGTTAAGGAGAGCTGTGAACCATCATGTAAGTGCTGGGAAACAAACTCCTCTCCTTTGCAAGAGTAACATGTGTTCTTAAGTGCTCAGCCATCTCTCCTGCACTTTTTTTTTTTTTAAATGACTCAGTGAGTTTCATTAGGGGTTATTCACAGGAGCATGGGCATCTTAGCAGTGGCTACCCCGCTGAAGAAAATACCTCTTACTCTCCTATCAACCATTAATTTATTTTGGTTTTTTGAGACAGTCTCTCACTCTAGCTCAAACTCATGATGTAATCTGTGCTGCCTAGAAATTCATAATCCTTCTGCTTCAGCCTCCTGAGTGCTGGGATTACAGGTGTGAACTACCACATTAGCAGACTGTCTGACTTTCTAGTGCATATTTAATCTCCAGTTGACTTTAATGATGTGACTCAAGCACTTTTATTAAGTGCTGTTCCATGGTGGATGAGCCTGACTTGACTCTGACCTTTTACCTGAGCCTGTTTCAGAATGACAGCATTAATACATCTCTCTATGAATGTTACCAACAGAATGTGTTGCTCCCATTTCAGCTCTGAATTTTTGTCTGCAAGAACCTTGTCCTCCCTGCTGATTTGTTTCCGAATCAAGAGATGAAGAGACTGTGACCTCCTCTGGGGTTTGTTGGCAAGTCTGGGCTGGCATTGCTGAGATTGCTTCAGGTTTTGCACCTGCACTTTGGCGACACTGTACTCTGGTGATGTCTTATCTACTTTGTGTTCCCTTCATGCTAGTGTGTTCCATCATCCTTTCTTCCTTAGCATACAAGTGGGAGAACATGTGGGAACATGGCTGCGACCAAAGGAAGACTCCACCCGAGGCAGGCCACATGGTGGACCGCCCTCCCATAGCTTCTTTATCTTTAACTCTAGGAACAAACCGTAGAGAGGTACTTTCTAGACAAGGTGTAGATGGTGGGTGGGGTGCTGATGGGCAGAGAGGGGTTTGAACACTTATTCTCTACAGAGGCCTCAGCTGTAAACCAGAATAGCAAGTTTAGAGAGCGTTAAGGTCTGTTCCATCTGACAGTCTATATTTTTCTGAAAGTTTACACTCTTTGGTTGTACTAGCATAAAAGGGAACTCAGGGTTTCACTTCCATAGGAATTTTTTTTAAGTATGGTGATGATCATTTAGCCACCCCAATAGGAACTGCTTGAAAAGGGGCAGGTTTATGCTTTGTGGAAGAAAACACATAGGAGTGATTTGGACTGCAGGAAAGGTTTTTCCACAAACTCAGCTTGCCTTTATTGCCTACAATAGATGGATAAATACTTAGGAACTTACTGCACTCTCCACACTTTTCCTTGCTCTGTTTAATGGTCCTCTCATCCAAGACATCAAAGGAATGAGTAAAATCTTTTCTGTCCTGTGACATCTGGTTGTGAAACTGTAAGAAAACAAGCAGGTTCCCTGAGATAACTGAGGATGTCTTGGATTATGCTGTGTCTGGAGTTCCTGTCTATGTGGTCATGACTTAAGAGAGTCTCCACTAATCTCAGGGATGTGGAAAGTGGGAGGGGGAAACTAGGAGTCCTATGCTGTTGGAGAGATCAGCCTGAAAAAGAAATGGCCCTGGAGTTCTTTCCCCATGCTGACTGTAGTGTGTGCTTGAAGCTTTTATTCTTGGCAGGGGCCACTCTGGACATGAGATCGTTGCTACTGTTCTCTCAGCTGTGCACAAGTCTTCTGTTGCTTTTTCCAAGCTGAGGAAGCCCTTCTCAGTCTCCTTCAGCCTTCTCCAACACTACTCTAGCTCCCCATTTTCATTTTCCCTTCCTCTGTAGGCCCGTTTGTGTGCTTCTGCAGCCTGTATGCGTGCCCACACCTATCCTGCTCTGGTTGGTGTTGCTTCCATTACCTTGCTTGCTCTTCCTGACAGTTACACTTCTCTTCCTTTTTCTCAAGGCTCCTCAGTTAACAGATCACCCAATTCAACAGCTCATTGCCACAGCTTGCTCTTAACACTTGGTAATAATGGATGCTTGGGCTCCATGCATGCCAACTTTCTTAGTGTCTCTTGCAAATTGTCCTTTGCCTTATCTTAGGGGGGAGGGGAAGAGGGTGCCCAGGTCTCATTGCTTTGACTGTCTTCAATAAATCCACCCATTCTTCGTCTTCTCCTTGATTCTCATCTTTGTCTTTGGCCTCCTACCCAAGAACCCAGTTCTGCTATCTGCTAAACAACTCAGCCACATTGTGTGGTTGTCACTCTTGCACCTATCAGATTCCTCTGTCTATCCTTACGTTTCTTTAATTATCTGAAAACTCTAGACTACAAACTAGCAACATTTTTCTTTTTTTAAAAAATTTTTTAAATTTATTTTATGTGTATTAGTGTGAAGATACCAGATTCCTTGGAATTGGTGATACAGACAGTTGTGAGCTGCCCTGTGGGTGCTGGGAATTGAACCCGGGTCCTTTGGAAGAGCAGACAGTGCTCTTAACCACTGAGCCATCTCTCCAGCCCTCAACATTTTTCTTATCACAGGAGTCCCATTTCTTTCTGTTTTTAAAGAAACTCTAATTAGGTATACTCTCCATTAATTTTCAGGAACCACCTGAATTGGGTTTCTTGACATTATTAGTTTTGGAAGCATCAGTCATTTCAGAATGTGCGCTGGTCTGAAGTTTCTGTCTGAAGTTGTATTCTAGACTGCAGATTCCTTCTTGGCCTCACCATCTGACACTCCCTGTTGCCTCTGCCCCCAGCACAGCCTTTGTGTTCCAGCTTCTTGTGGTTGCTCTATGGTTAGGCTCCCCCCTCCTTTCAGTTTACCCAGGTCTTTGTGTTTTGAAGGACTCAGCTCACATGCTTATGTTCCTCCTAGCTTCAACACATTTGATTGATTTTTTTCCATTCCATGCTGATAGCTCTTAACGTCTCCCTTATCTTAGAACTCCAACATGACATAGTTCTGATGTTGCTGCGATCTCCCCAAAACTAAGCCCCAAGAGACAGTCATTGACATTGCTATATGTGCCAGGGACCTCATGGGTTACATTTCTTGTTGGAGATGTAACTGAAACCGGGGCTCACACAGCTCTTCCTAGCTGCTTGTTATGGCCTTATACTTGTTGACTTTTGCTTTTGAAGGGCAGGAAGAAAGGTTGATTTTCAGGAACCAAGATTGACAGTGAGTGGACGGACACAAGAAGTTTTGCCACAGAGTCTAAAAAGCCTCACCCCTTTGGGCTGCAGACAGTACAGTGGAGTTTGTTTCACTTGAGAAGTTGCACTGAAGGAGGTGGCTCCCACCAAAGAAAAGGCATTTTCAGGCCTGTGTTTTTGAAGGTAGAATACTTAAAGCATATTTTCCTAGAGAATGTGTGGATGGTGATGGCCTGGCTGAGGCGTCTACACCAGAGGCTGGGCTGGCATGTGGGAAGCACATAAAGCCTAAAGTAGCATTCCTATAGACAATAATATTCTGAGTGTGCTTTCCTGCGCAGCTTTTGGCTACGAGCAATTTCTTACAGGGAACCTGCTTGCATCATAACAGTTAATAGTTTGTTTTCCTGCTATGGTTTATAGAAGTTCTGGACCAAACACCTAACTAAATGTGCTAACACATTTTTCCCTGGAGACAGAGCTTTGTACCCTTAAGAATTCCCCTGCTATGGATGCTCTTTCTTCTTTCTTCACCAAGGCATAGTGTGCTTTGCACAAGTCTGAGCCATTTGAATGTAGAGAAGGGTGTGTCAAGCCCCGGGCCATGTGGCCCTGTGAAGCAGTTTTCTCAAAACTCTTGGTAGGAAGGTTCAGTTTGGCATTGCCTTAAGAAAGTTTTAAAGAACTAGAGAGATGGCTCAGAGGTTAAGAGTTCTTCCAAAGGCCCTGAGTTCAATTCCAAGCAACCAAATGGTGGCTTACAACCATCTATAGTGAGATCTGGTGCCCTTGTCTGGCATGCAGGCACACATGCAGGCAGAACACTGTATAAATAATAAATTTTTGAAAGAAAGGAAGGAAGGAAAAGAAAGCTAGCTGTAAAGAGTCTGGTGTGGTGATGCATGCCTTTAATCCCACACTCAGAAGACAGAGGCACCAGGAGGCCAAAAGGAGCATGAGGCCAGACTGGTCTAGAATAGCAAGTTCCAGGCAGCCAAAGTTAGAAAGTGAGAGCCTGTTTCGAAAAACGAAAGAAAGCTGTAAAATGTTAAAATTTAATCTAACTACTTCAGGATGACTCAGCTCATTTAGTTCCTTGCACAGATATAAGCTTAGAAACTCTGTAGTTTGGACCTCAACTTGCATAGCATAGCAAACTACCCATGAAGCTGGCCTCCTCACACTGTGATAGGAATTTAATTCAGACTACCATGTTAAATAAATGAATGTTGACATTATTTTCCTTGTCTTGTTTGCCCAATTAGTAGATTGCCACAGTTAGCCATGTTTTGTATTTCTATCTTTTTTGAAACTTAACTATAATGGCTTAATTGTATTTTTTTAAAGGTTATTGTGGTATAAGTATTTTTCAGCATATTTTACTGAGCTTCTGTAAATGGCATCTCAGTGTAGTTTCATATCATTATTGAATAGAAACCAAAATAAAATTCAGTTATCAAAGCATTGAAACATTACATGTGTTAATAGTATATTTAAATGAACTAAAATTGGTACCTATTTAACATAATTGAAAAATTTTTAACTTTTATCCACTTTCCTATTTATTCTTATAGGTTGAGCATCCCTATTCTGAAATCCAAAGCAAGTGTTTTAAATAACATGAACTCATACAACAGGTCATGGAATGCTTAGTTTTTCAAAATAATACATAAGATGTAATAACTAGTCTATGCATATGGAACAGGTGAACTTGTGCTTCAATCCTGGGTCCCATTCACCAAGTTACTTCACAGGTGTGCCAATACTGCAAAATCGGAATGAATTCTAAGCATTTTGGAAAATAATACCAGGGTTTTTTGTTGTTGTTTTGCTTCCTTCTCAAGACGGTTTCTCTGTGTAACAGAGCCCTGGATGTCCTAGATTTGCTTCGTAGACTACACTAGTCTCAAACTCAGAGATCTGCCTGTTTCAGCCTCCTTGAGTGCGGGGATTAAAAGTGTGTACCACCACACCGACCCTAATACTCAGTTTTTAATATGCGCCAGTAACTACAAGTGCCATCCCTATGCTCTGTGCACACTGGGCTTCCTATGTTCGGGCCCAGTGTCTCCACTCTTCCCTCCCTGCCAGGCTGGCCGTTCTCTAGTCAAGATCTCAGTGGGCTGATGTGCAGGACATTTTGCTGGCAGTGGTTCTTTTGGTGTGTCTCTGATAGAATGCTGCTCCGTCAGCCTGCTTCTAACAGAGGATAAAGCTTAAGGCTGAGGGTCTCTTGGCTCCAGCTCTTTGAGAGTTGCCACCCAAGACCACTAGTCATGCTTCCCCTTGACAGTCCAGAGCAGCACAACACTAGAGCGGGTAGAAGCAAAACGCTCCAGGGCAGGACTGGACCAACCTACTCCAACAGCCAACACCCTCAGGGGTTCTTTGTCTCTGACCATTGCTTGGAGCTGGGTGTGGGAAAGTTGGAGCATTCTCCATTGTGGGACATCAAGGCTGTGCAGCCCACACTAAACCTTAAATAGAAGTTGAAGAACTCACAGCCCACATTAGCCCTTGCAAGGTGAAGTCGTCTTAATTTATAGCAGTTATCAGAAACAGAGTGGTTTGGGTTTATATGGTCAATGAATTACTGCAGAAGGACACCACGAGAGGTTAGGGAGGTGCTGTTCTTCCGGCTCATCTCTGAATGGACTACTTCTTCTTCTTTTGTGCCTGGACCTTTGAGCTAAGAGCCTGCAGGTCTGAGTACAAGTTCCGTTTCAGGATGGCACTGCTGCACAGCAAGGCCCCTTGCAGGGCTCCCATCAGCCCACACGTGAAGATATCTTGGCCTAGAAGGCAAAAGCAGTGGCCCATGGATGTCCACCCGTATGAGGATGGGAAAACAGGGGGCTCTTGTGTTCACCCTCCATAGCAAGGCTACCCAAAGAGAGACAGCTTCAGACAGAGCTCAGGGCTATAGACAGCCAGGCAGCCCAGCACCTGGTGTGGGTCTGAGGACAGGAACAAAAGGCTATGCCCGGGAAGCCCAGATGCTGGCAGAGTAAGGCAGTGTACCTGTCAGGTAGAGGTTGGGGATAGGGGTTTGGGCTCTTATGGAAGCCATTGCATAAGGATGCAGACGAGCCAGGTCATGGTCGGCCCCATAAGTAGCTCCTCGGGGAGCAGCCAGATAGTACTGGTTGGTCAGTGGGGATCCTCCAGTCACACTCTCTACCTGAGGAGGCAAAAGGGTAGGCAGGGATGAACAAGGGACTCTGCAAGGGCCTGATCCTTCTTTGGGACTATTACTTCAGGCTTTATCCCTGTACCCGAGAAAAGACAAGCAGTGAGGAGGTGTGTCATCACCTCCAACACTGTGTGTGTTGGCCCTTACCTTGCCCTCCAGCTGTGGGAACAGTTTCATGACCACCGACATAGAGGCTTCCAAGAAGGCATTTTTGAGGGTCTCATAGTCAACACCCCGCTTGCCCTTCGGCTCCTCCTGCCACTCCTCGAACCACTCGAAAGCCATGGGTACCAACACAGTCATTGTGGACCGGTCTACAGGTGTAAGGCCATGTTAATGCTACTTTGGCCCTACCCTGGCCCCTGCCCAACTTCCCTGGACCTCAAGCCCTACCTGGAAACCGGTCCTCCCAGGTTGGATCCTTGGCTGATGGGAAGGCAATGAAAAGAATGGGGATGTGCTCTGGAGCCTTTTCCTTGGGCATAGAGACATAGCGCTCCATCCTGTGGATGAGGGGGTATGACTGCCAGTCTCTAGGCCTTTTTTCTCAAAGCCACCAGCACTACCCAAAAGATGGTTCATCTCCAGGGACCACCCACGGGGAAGAAACAGAGACACAGCTTTGGTATAGGAAGCTTTCTAGGAGTCTTCTAGGAGACTGCACCTCCTCCAACACACATGCCACTTCTTATTCCTAGAACCATGCCAAGGGTGGAAGCAGGGTCTTGGATTGAGGCCTACTGCCATCAGTCTTCTCCACCCCCTAACATCTTACGCTTTGTCCATGTCTGTGTCAAAATAAACATAGTAGTTGGTGGGCTGAAGCTTCAGGTCCTCCTTGGTGCCTCTCAGACAGATAAAAACTGACAGCATGCTCATGCCGGGCCGAACCATCGCCAGCTGCTGCTTCACATCTGCAGAGAGCCAGTGAGGGTTGCATTGCAGGAGCTGTGGCCAGACAGCCACTCCCTGCCAGAATAGCCTCAGGATGTTCAGCTGCCAGCTGGGATAGGCCTGGCCAATTTTAGTTATTTCTAAAGGCTCCTGGCAGGGACCTGCTCTTCTGTCTGTGTCAGATATAGCCTCAGACTCCTTTCAGCTCTACCACCTCTGCTCCATGCACCTTCAGTCACAGGTGCTGACCTCCTGCTGGCTCAGACTACAGCCAGCTTACAGCACCTCTGGACAATCAAGCCGTTTCTACTCGCCCTTTTACCCCTTTAGATTGTTCTTTAATTGTAGGTGTGTGTGGACAAGGGCATACACACCTGGGTGTTCAGGGAGAAGCCTGAGGACAACTCGCTGAGGTCATGGCTGTCGTCTTTCACTCTGAGGATCTAACTCCAATCGCCAGACTGAGTAGCAAGTAGTTTTTACCTCCGAGGCATCTCAATGTCCCTCCTCAGTTTGTGGAGGCAGGATCTCCTGTAGCCAAGGATGACCTCAAATTTCTTATCTCCCTGCCTCTACCTCCAGAGTTCTGGGGTTACAGCCAAATCCACCACAGCTGTCTTACCTGGTTCTGGGGATCAAACCTAGCTTGATGCATGCCAGGCAAGCACCTGACTGAACTTCATCCCTAGCCCTTGGCTGCCCCTTAAGTGAGTCTTTTCTATTAAAGTACCGGTTTCTCAGGGGAAGGAAGGCAGATAGATATACAGGCCTCCATTTCTCAGCCCCAAGTGCAAAGCCTAGACATTTGCATCTGACAGAACAGTGTCCTCAGAGTCCTGCTACTGCCTCTGTGAAAGGCCCCTCTTCACCTGTGCTCCTAGATTCCCCAAATATAAATGTTACAGTGTTGGTAATACACACTAGCGAGCGCGCCAGAGGGGTACCCAAGAAGAGGGGAGCATCACCGAGGCCGCACTTATAAGAAATCCCCGTCTTTCACCTGGCAGACAGCGGGCAGCCTCTGGCAGTAAGTGCTCATAGGTATTGAACATTCCTGCGTTGGAGATGACGACAGGGCAGTAGATGTTCGCCAGCTCCTGGCCCTTCTTCACACTGACACCTGCGGGCACAAGAATCGGCTGAGCTGTGAGCTTGAGGGAGAGGGAAGAGCCTGTGCCCTTCTCCAGATCTCACCTGAGGGCTAGTGAGCTGGAGGGAGAAGGGAGGGGCCTATGCCCTTCTCCAGATCTCACCCGAGGGCTAGGGATACAGCTCAGTTGTATAGCACTTATTCATTCATGGCACAGTGACACAGTCCTGTAATCCTAGCATTTAGGAGGAAGAAGCAGGATGATCAGGAATTCTAAGGACAGCCTCAGCTAGCTAGTGAATTTGAGGGTATCCTGGACCACATGACATCCTGCCTCAAAATATTAGTTCTGTCTATAGCCACATGTATAGATACCGGATCTCCTATGGTAGGCCCTACTTCTCAGACCCAGAACTTCTGCCAGGCAGGGATGCCCCCACGCACACTGCAGTCACTTAACCCTTGCCTCAAGTGTGTCTGTGCTTACTTGCTCTAGCTCTTCTCATCCACACACGTGGACTTGCTTCTCTTTAGCCATGTCCTGCCAACCCAAGAACACTGGCTCTACGGAGTCTCAGGCCCTCCTTCACTGCTGCCAAGTTCTTCATCCACAGTACTCCCCAGATGACTCCCCTTCATGAAACACCAGTTTCTGCGATTTGCTGTAGCCTGTGTGTCTAACCTCAACTCTGGCTACTCACATAACCATTATGTCACACCTGACCTTTGGTAAAAATTTTATTTCTTTTCCTTCCCTCCATTTGTTTGTTTGTTTGGGGGTGGGGGTGCTGCAGCCCACATGGAGATCAGAGGACAACCTGCCAGAGTCAGTTCTCTCCTCCCACCTGTGGGGCTCCAACTTAGGTAATCAGGTTTAGTGACTGGAACATTTATCCACTGAGCTAGCTCACCAGCCCAGATTCCAGCCTCTTCCCTTGCATGAAAAGACGGGTTCTTCTACAGCAAGACCCCAGGTCTCTTCTTCAACCCCAGCCCACTGACCCCAAAGCTCAGTTGCAGGTCTCTTACCACAGGCTCTCCCAGCCGAGTCCAGCAGTATACTCTGAACGGTGGCCCTGGTGAGGACAGCACCCCCGGCCCGCTGAATCAAAGGAATGATATGGAAGGCAATCTCACTGGAACCCCCTCGGGGATAATATGCCCCTTGTATGTAGTGGTCAACCAGCAGAGCATGCAAGGAAAAGGTGGTGTGGCTGGGGGTTACGCCTACAGAGTGAAGAAGGAAAGAAAAGATGAGTGGGCAAGAGTGGATACTTGGCACCATTCAGGAAGAAGCA